TAGTATCCATTAATTCTGAAACAATTCTTTAGGGTAAAGTGTGTTTCAGAGACGAGTAGTACGTCAATTTCCTGAAGTAGCAGGAATTGTTCTACTTCATTCTTGTGTTGGCTAAGGCCGTTAGCATTCCAAAAACAAATTCTTAGAGAATTCATTTTTTATTTAGCAGGATCTGCATGAGCATGCTTTGATTCTGCATTAATTGTTGAAACATATTTTGCATATTTGCCATGAAACTGTTCATGGTTTGAATTAGATTCTCAATAGAGCTTTGAGAATTTGTTTCGGGTGCAGGCACACCCTCTTTTAATGCATGTGCATATGAAAATAATGGGGCATTATTTTCATTGTTTGATTGCAAATTCTCATTATTCTTATTTGTAAGACTTCTATATTGGGCACTAGAAGTTTGATTTGCATTCATTTGGGTAACGGAACCCTCTTTTGTCGTATGGGCATACGATTTATTCTGATTGCTTTTATTTGTGATACTTCTATATTGAGCACTAGAAGTATTAGGAAGGCTTGGGAAGTTAGAAGCTTTATATTGAGCATATAAAGGTCTTCTGGCCTTGTTTGATTGTTGGATGTGTAGATATACTGGACATCCGCGATAGTTAGCAGTGTGATTTTGACCACAGTTACTGCATTTTCTTTTATTGTTATCTGTTTTTGGGTAAGGACAATCTTGACTCTTATGGATGTCTCCGCATCTCACACAAACAGATGGTAATTTGCAGAAAGTTCTGGTGTGACCGAACTCTTGGCAATTTAGGCATTGAGGAGGACCTCTGCGCTTAATGGGTTCCTCTACAGTTATTTTGCGATTGAGAAGATATCTTAAACTGTATATTGGATGAGTATCACCCTTTTTTTTCAATTGTGAAGAGTTAAAAGTAATTTCAACTCTAAACATTGGTTGGGGAATTTTGTCCTTGTTAAATATATTGTGAATGGACTTCACTTCATAACCTTCAGACTCTAGCGCCTTTTTAATGTCATCAGTTGGTACAGAGCTGTCTACACCTTTGATAACTACTGTCAAACCCTTTGCACTTTTTAGTTGATACGTGTAATAATTTCTTTTCTCAGAATCAAAACTATCAACTATTGTTCTAAAAGACTTTTCTGAATAAGTCTGTATTTTTGTTTCCTGAATATTTCCTTTCCGTAGAGAGACTACATGGAAATTTTCTTTGCCTACAAGTTGGGACAACTTATTTACCAATAGATTGGTGGTAGGTTCGCGCAAATAGAGGGGAGGTGGCTTTTGGTCTTTTAAAGTCATAGATGGTACTTTTTCACTTTCTTGGTTATCAAGCAGTGCAAAACGATTTTGACTTACGGAATTTGTTTTCGCTTGTTTTGGATTTGGTTCCAATTTTGAAGTCCTAGGGCTGGACTTACGTTTTGCATATGTGACATAACGGTCCATTCCCGTTTGGATCTTTTGCGTTTTATGCGAGCTCAATAAATTTGGAGTATTTTTTGGTATGGCACCAGTATTCTTTGACATTGGGCTTGAGTGACCCTCCTTATCATTAATGGTTTTCACAGTGTTAATATTGTTATTGGTACTATTTGTGATATTGTTCACATTAGCATTACTATTTACATCAACCATTGAATCAGTTGTTTGATTATCTATTTTTTCTTTTGCTTTGTCTTCCACACAATTGTCTTGTTTTGGCGCACTTGAGAGAGGAGATCTCTCGTTTGTTGTTGTTTTTGAATCTGTTGTTTGTTTATTTATTTTTTCTTTTGCGCTATTATCTACACAATTGTTCTGTTTTGGCGCACTTGAGAGAGGAGATCTCTCGTTTGTTGTTGTTCTTACACTTAAATAGTTTTTATGATTTTTTGGATCATAATTATTGTTGTTGTTGCATGGAGAGCTCATAACAAAGTATGCATTTTTTCCATTGCTACTGAGCCTCCTTTCACTTGTTGGAGAGTTAGAGAAACTCATGCACAATAACACACACTACACTCTATTTAAGGTTTTGTTGTTATTTTTTCTTTTTGTATACTTTTTGCTTTTTTTATAAATTGTTTTGTTAATAATTGCATTAACAAAAACGACAATTTATTTAATTTAAATGTATTTTTAATATTAAAAATAAATAAGTATGTATTTAATTAGCGTCCATTCGCTGTTACTTATCTTTTTTTATATTTTTATTAAGAATTTATATTCACAATGTTATTTTCCTGTGAGAGCGATTTAAAACACGTCTATCCACTATAGATGAATATCTAAAGTTCAAATAAATTTGAAGTTTTAAAAAATTTTGTAAAATTTGTATGGAAGTTAGCACTTATTTTCTTCAATAAAAATTTAACTTATTAACAAAAATTGTCGTTAAAAGTGCAAAAATTACTTTTTTAGTTTCAAATTTATACCAGACGTGGTCATGCATTAAGGAATCCTTTTGCATCAAAAACTCACTTTGCCCAAAATTGAGTTCGCACTTTTTGAATATAGGGTCACGATATAAATGGGGACTTTTTGATACTTTTTCGTTCTTTAACTGGTAATTTTTGATTTTGCTATAATATTAAACCCAGAAATTTGAAATTAATCATGTGGAGCCCGGAGTAAATGCGAACATATAAAATTTGACCTTTTGGTAATTTTTCGTTCTTCAACTGGTACTTTTTAAGTATTTTATTTTTTAAAATGGAGTATTTATTATTTGGTACTTGTTCTTTATTTAACTGGTACTTTTTGTATTTTCTATAATATTAAATTTAGGAACATGAAATTATACTGAAATGGTACTTTTTCGTACATCAACAGGTACTTTATGAGTTTTCTAAAATATTGAATATATAAACATAAAATTAAACAAGCAGTATCCTGATTGAACATACTTATTTTTTCTTTTACGGCTGGGGAGCACATTTGATAGTTTTGTAACATAAAATTTATTGAATATTAATGTATTTACATTTAGGTTTGTTAAATTACTGATGTCTGTTCTGAAAATGAAATCGGTTTCTAAAACCGATAAACTTTTAAAACCGAATTTGGTGTTCTGCAAATCGAATTGTTATTTGAACGTAAAAGTCACAAAAACACAAAAATAGAAAAATAATTATTTAATTTATTAGAATAAAATTACATTTGATTTACTTTAGACTATATTTATGTACTCGGTTTTAAAACGAGAAAAATTATGCAAATTCGTTTTTAAACGAGAAATTTACTCGGATTCAGTTTACAGAACAGACAGAACTATATAATATTATTTTGGCCAAATTGGCTTTTTTATTACGGAATAAATAAATAAATAAATAAATATATAAATAAATAAATATATAAAATATCTTTTTAGTACACTACCGTTACCGCTAAAATACCAGTACCAAAATATGCCAATATATCGATAACACTAAAGTACAGATACAGAAATAAGTCAAAATACCGATACCGCTACCGAATTAAGCCAAAATACCGATACCTTATCACCGTTTCAAAACGGTTGCTATCATTGTTTATAGGTCTTCTTATAAACCTTCAGCGAAAGATCTTCTAATAGGCCTTCAACGGAAGACCGTTTAATAGGCCTTTTTGAGTAAACCTTCTATCGGCCCCCTTACACAGCGTTTTTAGAATTTTGTTGCGATTGCAGAGGGGTGAGTTGAGTATGTAAGCTAATTTTTCGGGAATATAATATAAGGAAAAAGCATTCCGCTGTCGTTGCGGAATGCGTTATACGCATAATATATGACTTGAAATCATTGAGAAAGTACTCGTGAACGGTTCGGTTATTTCACTGAGTGGTTTTGACTATTTACGCGTAACGCTATGGATTTTCTGAAGTTAATTTAATAATCAAGTTAAAACATGTGTATCATGCCGGAATGGAAATGTGGCCTGCCAGTGAAAACAGTATCCCTTATTTAATTGTAAGGCAGAGTATTTTAGGTTTATATTTCAGTACATATTAGGGTGATCGACTCGATTTTTCAACCGGTTTTAAAACCGGTTTTTTCTGCTTTACCAGTGTCGGTTTTTTCTAAATGTTGATTTTTCGAATATCGAATAACCCGGTTTTTTCACTTTTTAAAAATCGGTTTCGAATACTTTTATTTGGTTTGTATTTAAAGATTATTTAAATGAAATTTTGAAGTAAATAATACAGCGCGTTTAAATATTCGAGTCCAGGAACTAGGATATATTTTTTTAAAGCACCATTGGTTAAACTTTTTTGATTTTCCTAATTAATTAAAAAATTTTATTTGTAAAATTGATAACTGTTTAATAAAATTTTATTAATCTTAAGATTATATTCCAACTACAATAATTAATTAACCGCTGAAATATTATGTAAGTGTTGGAATGCCTATGAAAATTTCCTAAAAGGGCTTTAGAATAAGCTAGGATTACATAGTACCTTATGTTTAACAGAAGTGTCCACTTTTTTCCTATTTTTTTTTTATATTAAAGAAATAATGTAAATCAGACGACTAGATCTAAAGCTATAATCTGTTAAACTGTTAAAAATCATTTCGGGCCATGTTTTATTAATCAAATTTAAACATAAACATTAATTTCTTCAAATTAACATATATTTTTTTATTTATTATGAAAAACCGGTTAACCGGTTTTTTCTGAATTTGAAAAATATCAACCGGTTTTTTTGAAATGTCAACTATTCGAACTATTCGAAAACCGGTTTTTGGAAAATGTCGAATAATCGATCACCCTAGTACATATACAGGAAATAAAAATTGCAAATCACGTAATACTTTACTTTAAAAAACTGATGCAATAAATGTTCTTGCTCTATTTCATTGTTATAAATTATATACAAAATCCCACTTAAAAAGTCTCTCGGATTCCGTTTTTATTTAAAATCTTTGAAAATTTTAAAATTAGCGTATTTTAGAACTTAGCCAGCTTACAGTCGATTTTAAGCCGCCGCCGATATTTTTAGTGTCAGCCGCCGTAAATATTTGTCGGCGCAGGGCTCTGCACTTTTTTGACATTTGACAGGCAAAATGGCGTCATTTCACCACAAAACTTTGCGTCGTTGAAAGAGAGTACATAATTTTTGTCGTGTAGATTTTCTGCTAATTTTTTTAAATAAAATGTCTCAAAGATTTGCTCCTGGCCAGCCAGGGCAATCACCAGTGCCTGGACAGCCACGTTATCAACCACCACCACCTCAAGCAGCCGGTATGCGTCCATACGCAGCTGGAACGGGTTTTCCGGTACGTATGCGAATACATATGTATTTGATCGATAGTGAAGCACAAAAAAAAAACAAACATTTTTATTTCCATTGCAGCAAAGAGGTTTCCCTCTGCATCCCAGCAACCCGCAAACGGTGCAAGCTAACACAAATTCACCTAGTGGTCCTCCACTTCATCAGCGTGCCTCACAGCCAGGTTTTCAAAGTGGTCTTCGTGGGACAGGCAGTGGTGGGGGTAGTAAACGTTCTGCCGAATCGCGTACTGTAAGCAGTACACAAAATAAAAGTGAATTTTCAGCGGCCAAAAAGAAAAAGAAGTTGGCCGATAAGATATTGCCACAAAAAGTGCGTGATCTGGTGCCGGAGTCTCAGGCCTATATGGATTTGTTAACATTCGAACGTAAATTAGATGCAACTATAATGCGAAAACGTTTAGATATACAGGAAGCTCTTAAACGTCCCATGAAACAAAAACGTAAACTACGCATTTTCATTTCGAATACTTTTTATCCCAGCAAAGAACCTACAAATGACGGTGATGAGGGTTCGGTAGCATCGTGGGAACTGCGCGTTGAAGGTCGTTTATTGGAGGATGGTAAGGGTGATCCCAATACGAAAATTAAGAGGAAATTTTCGTCATTTTTCAAGTCACTTGTCATTGAACTCGACAAGGAGCTCTATGGTCCTGACAACCATTTGGTTGAGTGGCATCGTACACATACGACACAAGAGACCGATGGTTTCCAAGTTAAAAGACCTGGTGATAGAAATGTACGCTGCACCATACTGCTGTTATTAGATTATCAGCCATTACAGTTTAAGCTGGACCCACGTTTGGCTCGTCTGCTGGGTGTTCATACACAAACCCGGCCTGTAATTATATCTGCGCTGTGGCAATATATAAAGACTCACAAGCTACAGGATGCCCATGAAAGGGAATACATTAATTGTGACAAGTATTTAGAACAAATCTTTGGTTGCCAACGCATGAAATTTGCGGAAATTCCTCAACGACTAAATCCTCTTTTACATCCTCCAGATCCAATTGTAATTAATCATTTCATAGAAAGTGGGGCCGAGAATAAACAGACAGCTTGTTACGATATCGATGTGGAAGTAGATGATACACTTAAAACACAAATGAATAACTTCCTAATGAGCACTGCCAGTCAGCAGGAAATTCAAGGTCTTGATGCCAAAATTCACGAAACCGTGGATACAATCAATCAAATGAAAACGAATCGGGAATTCTTCCTTAGTTTTGCTAAAGATCCTCAAACATTCATACAGCGTTGGATAGTTAGTCAAACGCGAGATTTGAAGGTGATTTTTTTTAATTTTTATATTTGGTGATTTAATTACTGAATTGTTTTATATTATTTATTAGGCTATGACTGATGTAGCTGGCAATCCAGAAGAAGAACGCCGTGCTGAATTTTATTATCAGCCTTGGACCCATGAGGCCGTTTCGCGTTATTTCTTTACGAAAGTTAATCAGAAACGTGCTGAACTTGAACAAGCTCTGGGTATACGAAATGGTTAAAGGAAGTGAAAAAGTCATTTTATGTTCAATCTTAACTTTCGGTTTAGTTTTTAACACATTTAACTTATCTGTCTCATTTAATTATTTTGTGGTATAAGTCAGATGGACTCATTTAAATATAAAACATAAAATTAAAGTATAGTATTGTATTGCAACAATGATTTATTTTTCAATTTCAACATAAATATTGATTTAAATCTAAATTCAAAAATTTAATAGATGATTCCAAAAGAAATAAACATTAATATAATTAAGAAAAAATTCGATTTGTAATACATATTTCATTATCTATCAATTTCTTCATTTTACCTTACCATAAAACTGACTTCTGCAAAATTGTATCACGGTTGCTACATAAACGACATTTATGGCGGTTTTAACTGTATTCCGGGTGCCACCTACCTGAAAATATTTAAAATTATGAATCAATTTTGACAATTTTCAATACTAAACTTCTCTTGTCATCACTGAATAGTTAGTTAGTTTGAAAGGAGGATGTATATACATCTAATTCGAAGAAATACACCTAGGTCTCTATCGGTGTTGTGCGCTCCTTAACCAGTGCCTCAGGTGGGAATCGAACACATCACCTTCGGTCTGCCAGACTAGAACACTAACCTACCGGAGATCACCATCACTGAGTAAGTTTGGAACATTTCTGCACTGGAACTCATCCAATTCAGAGCCTATCCGGTTTCCAACTGACAGATCGACATAAGGACCCAGAATGTAATTATTTATTACACACGTAGAGCCAAACCTAAATAAAGACGTTGAGCTTTGCGCAAATTATTTTTGTTTTTATAAAATTTATACGCTTTTATTTAGGAATGGCACATACAGTTTGAAATTTTGCCAATGAGACTTCACAGTAATCGTTATTAGAAATTCAATAAATTAATTGGAAATATATCCATTTAAATATATCAGGTTTTTTTATTAAAATTATAAAAATTGTTTGGAATAAATTGGGATGTTGGATAGTCTTGGTTTTTAAATATTGGTAAAGAAAGATAAATCTTATTTAAGTGTTTGGAACGTTGATAATACAATTTTTAGAATTGTTTAATTATTTCAAAATAACATATTAATGAAAAGTTGCCGACCTGCAGCCAATTTTGATGCGCCACAGAAAATTATAATGTCAACCGCCGTTTTCTTAATGTTTGCCGGCGCTGGTCTCTGTATACAACTCAGCTGTTCGGCATTTTTTTATTTCTATTTTTAAGGCGTTTTCTGTTTGTTCTTCATAATTAATGGAAAATTATTAATTAATATTTCAATAAAAATGGGTTTTCCATCGATCACCACAATTTTGGGAGTAGCCTTTCTTGGCTACATCGGTCACTCAATGTGGATGATGGCCCAATTGTTTACCACACTCAAGTGTAGTGACATTCCCTGCTACACTTCCTTTCTGACAAATAGACCACGTATGCAATTGGCCCTATTTACCTCGACCAGTGCAAATCCCATTTCTGCCGAGGTAACTAAACTAGAGTCATTAAAGAATTTCAATTACTGGGAACATTATGAAAAGGACTATGAAATTCAAGTGCCGGCAAAGACAAGACGCAATGGCACTTTACACTTACAAGTAGTGTTGGCTTTAGAAGGTGAACCTTTGGAATGGAAGACTCTTAAAAGAGATGGGCCCACTGTAATACATAGTTTAAGTATTACCGAGTACATGATTCCAAAAGCTGAAGCCTTTAATTTGTTAGGAGAGAGTGGTAATGTAAGTTTAGTTTAGTTGAGTTGTTTGTTGCTGATACGCCAAAAAGTTAAAAGATTTAAGAAACAAACTTGTTTATGTTAAAATTTTCTTGCAGAAGGACCAACAGAAAGAATCTAAAGCAAAGAAAAATTCAGCAGCAGCAGTTAAACCCAAAACTCATATTATGTCTGAAGTACATGTATCTTTGCTTACCGATCTGATCTCATTATCTGCGAAGGATGTACCACCTGAAATGGCACAATTGATACATGTCAATCGACATCAACAGATTTTGCCCATTTTGAAGACTGATTTTTTTAATATACGCATGAAAAACTTAGTTCCCGTTAACCGTAATATGACCACATTTACTATAACATTTCATTTCCGTCCCATGAGTATTGGTAAATTACGTCTAATGCTTATGATAGAGCATGCAATGAAGATGATGCTTCAAATGGGTTTCACTAAGAACGACATTGAAGAAGTTAAATCTGTGCTGTCTGAAACAAATCTATATTTCCTTTTGGCCACTATATTTCTGGCCAGTATTCATGTAAGTAATACTAGAATTTTAAAGTAAAAAAAAAAACGCAATTTAAAATGTTCTTTTACAGACTCTCTTCGATTTTCTTTCCTTTAAAAACGATGTAATATTTTGGCGCCAACGAAAGTCCTATCAAGGTCTCTCTATGCGCACTACGCTTTGGCGTTGTTTTTCCCAGATCGTCATATTTCTGTACTTGTTGGAGGAGAAAAGCTCTTTATTGGTCTCAATACCAGCTGGAGTTGGTGTTTTAATTGAATTATGGAAGTGCAAAAAAATTCTCAAACTAGAAGTCACCCTAAGGGGCATACACAAACGTTCAGAAGAAGGTGAGGCGAAGGCAATTGGTACTGCTGAATCGAAGACCGAGGAATTTGATAAACAAGGCATGCGCTACCTCAGCTATTTATTGTATCCTTTATGCATAGCTGGAGCAGTGTATTCACTTATTTATCAACCACATCGTAGTTGGTATTCTTGGACACTGAATTCCCTGGTAAAAGGCGTCTATGCATTCGGTTTCCTGTTTATGCTTCCTCAATTGTTTGTTAACTATAAACTTAAGTCTGTGGCAGATCTGCCATGGCGAGCATTTATGTATAAAGCATTTATAACATTTATTGATGATGTATTTGCCTTTATTATAACTATGCCAACTGCCCACCGTGTCGCTTGTCTGCGTGATGATGTTGTATTCCTTATATATTTGTATCAACGTTGGCTGTATCCAGTCGATAAGAAACGTCTTGATACAGGACTTGCTATTGAAGAGACGGTGGATAATGAGGATTTGACTCAACGTTTGATGGAAAATTCAATGGAAACTGCCACTACTAGTGTAGAAGATAAGAAACTTAAGTAAATAAATGTAGAAGACTTTTTTAATTTTAATATTTTAATAAATACATTCCATATTTTAATGTAGACAAATATTTGGTTGTTGTCATTGGATAAAAGATTTGAGTCATCATATTTTGTGTTTGTTTTCCGAAGTTTGACATTTTTTTAATTTAGCACGCCTGCATATCTTGAGTCAATTTAAATAAAAACAACTCTATCAATAGATTGGTTTAAGACTAAACATTTTATTTTTCAATTAATTCAATGTATACATGAGTTTAGCACATTATATTTGTTTATGTTTTAAATTAAAAAATATTTTTATATAACAACTTGTATTACATACACATTATGTATACATACGAATTTTTTCATTAACAAACATTATGATTATTTATTAATTAATTTCTAATTACAAATATTTAATACATATAATTAAAATGTTTTCTTTTAACAAAGTAGATAGTAATGAAATGATCATGTATGTTGGCGTGTATTTGAAATGTGTTAAAAAAATGTAAAATGTTTTATAAACGACCTTAATCCTTTGGAATAATTTAAATAAAAAGTAAGAAATAGCAAGAGTTTGTTCGTTTTTTTTTTTTTTGTGAAAAGTTTCTTAATTTTATAAATATACAAATACATAAGTACATAATAAAATAGACAATATTTGTTTTATAATTTAGACGATTTCTTTTCGAATAATGTTAATTTTATAATGATTTATTTTTTTTGTGTTAAATAATCTTGAAAAATGTATGATGAGTTTTTTTGTTTTTTTATTATTAGTTCGTTGATAAATAGAGGAGTGTTTCGTTTCGAGTTTTTTTTTTTTTTGTTTTAATAAACTTAACAAATAATTATGTACATAATTAAAATATATAAAACAATTGCAAGCGTAGTTGTTGTTTTAGTTATTGATAAATTAAGCTAAACGCTTTTTTCGACTAGGAGATAAAATTTTGAGCATTGTTACTACAGGGGCCTCAAATGACATGGATACCACAAAGGAGAGTAAATATGAGGCCACCACAAATCCAAAGAACATGACAACCTGTAAAATGGAAAATAAAATTATAGAAGTTACCGTTTTTTCTTAAAAACAAATCTAGTTTAATGAGTGGTGAATTTAATAACATTTGGTAGTGATATTAAAATAATAGCATACTTTTAGGCATGATAATTTAATCTTAAAAATAACAATACAAGATGGTATTTTGTTATGATGATTTCCTTTATTAAAATAAATACATTACAACCCAGCAAAAAATAATTGATGTAATACTTTACAAACGACATCTTAATCACATCTAAAAATGCGATTGCATACTTTTCGCTTTTATAAACCAAACATATACTTACAAATTAAAACACAGTTAAAAATGAGAAAAGAGATGTAGAAAAGTCACTACAAACAACATATTCGAAGTACTTCAAATTTTGATGAAATTTACATAAGCGTTTCATTGAAAGAATGTGGTTTATTTTTGACATACAAATATCGGATTTTTACATCTTCTAAAGATAAGATTAGATGTAGTTCAAAGTTGTCAGAAATGAACAACATACCTCCAATGACACGCTAATGTAAAATTCATAGGTTTTTCACCTGAATTTGAAGCACTTCGGGTTACTAGTTGTGATGAAAATTCTACATCTTTTGCCACACTTTTTTTTGCTGGGAAATAACTTACCATTGTATCACCACCCAAATGTAAAGGTGAATCCGTATTCAATGCCATTGAACGTATAACAATGGGATGAACCAAATAGGCACAGTATGTAACTCTGGAGAAGGGATAAAGGCATGGAGCTGACAACAAAGTATTCACAAAGCCTCCATAACCCGTAGAGCAGGCAATAGTAATCCAGGCCAAGGATAAAGCCCACGCCGAATGACTTAGAGAACTGTATAGAGCAGCAGTAAGTTGTGAGAGTTCGGCACGATAAAGACCAAACACTAAGACGAACAAATTCAGGGATGCCAAAGTCCAGGCAGTAATCACTGTTGGTTTCGATAAACGTATTTTACAACTTGTGCGGAAAAGAATCCAACCCACAGCCATGCCTATTAAATAGGGACCCAAACGAGTCCAGGGTTTATCATAAATTTTATCGAACAAGGCCAAAGGATCATCAGAATCGGGACGATGATTGTTGGTAAAAGCAATGACGGCAGTAGTTATCCATGAGAGAACAAGGAAAACACAAGTTGTAAAAGCTGATAACTTAAAGTGACGTACTGATACTATCAGTATTATGGCTCCAATTATATAGAATTGTGTATCATTAGCCAAATACCAACTCCAAAGCATGCACTGCAATATAAAGTAAACATTTTATTAAAAAACTTGAAAACCTTGAAATATTACTTACCATTTGGTCCACGGGAAATAGAGTGTTAATATAGAGCATATTGCGCCACCAATAATCGGGACAGGTAATGTGGTCATTAGTGGGAGGATCAAAAATAGAATAGGTAGCCAAATATTTCATTGACACTTGCACCACGCCCAAGACAAACAAATAAGGAGCGGTTAATCTGTAACAAAAATAAACTTTATGAATAAAAAGATTTCTCATTTCTGTAACCAAAAACATACCTCATAAAACGGTACATAACCAAACCGAAAAAGTGTGCTGTGCATCTGGTAAATTCGTTGGTACCCTTGGCCAGTTTATTTAATTTACCCTTGGCATTTGTGCGGAAATACAGATATGATACTAAACAACCACTGATAAAGAAGAAAGTATCCACACTGAATGGTCCATTAGTGATAGCTTGGAAGAAGAAATTCTTTTCTACATCTTTACGCAATTCCAAATTATCGGAATATTTAAATATGACAATACAAGTATGACCCAATATAACCCAGGCCATTGAGAAGGCTCTTAGACCATGTATAGATGGTATAGTATCGGAACCAACATTACGATCACAGATGGCATTGAAATTTGTTATGGCTGAGAAGGATAACAGCAGCTCAGAATAAATGCTTAGTTTCTCGGGTTCATGTAAATGCCCTTCTAGATGTTCATCGGATGTACTATTGCTGGCAATAACACCATTAATATTTGTTACAGTATGTGGCAAGTTAAGGACTATATTCAATTCTTTAAGAGATTCTTTTTTCAAGGATTCATTCGTCACCGAATCACTGTAGTCGGAGGAAGCACAACCAATACCCGAAGAAGTTTCACTGTTATTCATCATTTCCTTGTCTTGTTGTCGCAAAGCTTCGCGCAATTGTCTTCTTAAAAATACTTCATACATGGTTCCCGTTAGAATTAAGAGCAATACAATTGTTGATACAATTCTGCAAAAAATTCCGAAATAATTTCCAATTGTTAGTATGTGCTAAAAAGGGGCAAAACTTACATTAATATCCAAAAAGTACGATCTTCAAATATATTAAATTCCCGATCGGTAGGTACTCGTACATCCAATATATTAATGGCTCGTGATTCTATTGATCTATAAGCATTTTTGGCCAATTCTTTAACATCTCCACTGGAGCAAGACGAGGGCAAACAGACACCCACATAAACAGTTCGAACCTGGAAAAGGAAAAAATGTTTTAGTAGATCGTTTTATATAATTATAAACGATTTCAGCTTTTTTGTTTTTAAAGGAGAGGTTGATCTGTAAAATCTTCGGGATTCAAATATTCAATAATGCCATCAGACATGCTTCGTTCGTTTCATATTGCATGTTTAATGACGTTACATATTATCAAATGTGGTGGAAGTTGTAACGTTGTTTTCATTACCAAAATAAAGCACTAACAATACTAGTTTTTTTGGTCTTTTCTACTCAAAACTTTGGAACGGATTGTTGTTGTTCGACTAAGATTAACATTTCCACTGGAAGTTTTTTGTAACATGTTTATACCAACGAAAATCTGTTGAAACTGTTCTTCATTCAATGTGACAACTGCTATGTAATTGGGAAGCTACTGAGTAATAGGGCATAAGTGTTATTTATGATGGTTGAAGTCAATGTTTCACAACTTACACTTCTCAGGTGGAGGTGTTCCGTTGTCGTACTGTGGAGTCTATGAACACACTACTATCTGAGCTATATAGTAGCCTACTATTAGTAGGAGAATCGCAAATGCTAACGATGTAGCTGTGTTGATATCGAGTAAATTTCTCGATACAATATATCGCGTGGAATCTGCTCTTAATCTACTTAGTAAATATAGCATTTCCAGTGGCCTCAGCTTAATCCACTGAAAACGGAGTTGGTTCTTTTCAACTAGCGATTCAACTAGTCCTTAACTCAGCGGTCAGACGGAATGCTTTAGATGCGTGGTCTGGTTATGGAATGTTGACTACTGCGTTACGAAACCAGAGTTTCACTGCCCTCTCCATATGCTCTACATTAGTACGAATATGCACGTGCAATTTTGCATAAATGTGCTCGTAATCCTGTGTGTGCACTCAGAATAAGTACCATCATACTAACTTCAGAATTTCTCATTTTGACGAGATTTCTCGTCTTGCTCTCATCAGGGTTACTCCATAGAATCTTTGTTGTTCTATACACCGTTTCATTATTCCTAGCGGCCTTATGTGATTCTCTCACCCATATTCAGCTTTTATTGCGTCGAATTATTTTGCGTTTGGCAGGTTAACTGCCTCGAGCTCCCTTCCCTTTAAAGCTATTATATTCGCCCTTTAGTTGCCGACTACTCCCGAGTGGCCTGGTACCCTAATGATGTAAACCTTACCTCTGGTAGAGTTTTCTGTTAAAGCTTTCTTGCAAACCAATACGGTATTAGATTTAATTCTATCACCTAATATCGACCTAATTGACTTCTGGCTGTGGGCGCCATATTTATTCTAATCCAATTTACGCATTCCGTTATTGCTCGGACTTCTGCCTGGAAGCTAGTAACAACAGATACCTATAGGTATTTGCTTTAATGTTCCGCTTGACCAAGACATTCTATCTAGGATCAGCATTTCAAAGTTTCCGACATATTCTGTGTCTGGTATGCGATCAGGCACGTCCGATGTGTATAACCTTCCAATGTGTCCAGTAAACATTGATGACGTGTCCTATAACCGTTTTTGGCCAATTCGCCTAAAGTAAACAGCCGTTCAGCTGTAAGCGCCGCCTCATATCTTAAATATGTTTAATGGGTGGAATATCTAGCAACGTTTCCAGAATATAATGACTTCTGAAGAAGCGGTCATAATGAAGAGGAGGATGAGACGTATTCCGTCAGTATCCCTTTCTTTGAGATATAGAGGAGCTTTTTGGGATAAAGGCTAAACATATCTTCAACTTTATTAATGAAACTGAGTGGTCTTATTCCAGAAGCAGCTGGCATTACTTCGCGCAGCCTCCTGTGACTAAGTAGAATCAGCAATTAAATGGACACAAGTGAGCACCATATGAAGTGAATGAATGCCATTAAATCTCACCTAAATAGTTTCGATGATATGAGGTTACCGAATTAACCCATTATTAGCCCCTAAACATTTGAACATTTTCAAAAATATCGTTATATTTTAAAACTTTATAGAACAAAAACAAGTAAGAAGTTATAGTCGGGCGAGGCCGACCATATAATACCCTACAACAGTTATAAAAATAAAATATAAATTAAATAAATAATAAAGCATTTAAGTTGAATTGTACCTTGTCTCAGATATACTTTAGCCATTTTTTTGTTGAATAAAATTGTGTACATTTAAGTCATATTTCGAAGAGGGCTTTGTACAGGGGCTAGGGTCAAATGAGGCTCTATCATCGAAAAATTCATCAGGGTCATGAAGGCTAGTATAGAACTTGGTTTTGCAGCTTTTTGTCCAGATACGAGTATATTGAACATAATTATGAACTTAAAAGCCCTATTCGAGGGGTTCAGTTTCATTGAATTATCTTCAAAATTGCGACCTGTACTTTGATTACAAGGTTTACATGCCCTTTGTTCAGTTGTATGGGGACTAATGGACCGCTTATAACCATTTTCAATAGGTTTTGTCACTAAAATAATAGAAGATCATGTACCAAATTTCATTGAATTTCATTGAAGTTTGATTACAAGGTTTACATGGACGGACAGACGGACGGACATTGCTAAATCGTCTCAGAAAATGATTCTAAGCCGATTGGCATAGGACCAATATTATTGTGCATTACAAACATCAGCACAAACTCAATATACCCACTAAAATGGTGTGGAGTATAACAAGAGTAAAGGAACTCAATCCAATATTATAGAAATATTCTTATATTACTAAACTGTTTAAAGAGATTTTTCGGGGAATATTAAAAATATGTATATATAATCGGAAACTTAAATGGAATCCAAAGTAAGAATTGTACTTACAACACTTGTAGGATATGTTTCATTCAGGAGCATTTTAATAATATAAAATCCCGGAATAAAAGGTGGATTTTCATTATAGACTGATGTATAAGTTTGCGTATGAGCTTTGGCAAATGGTAAACCGGAATTTTTGGCAGTTTCTCGGCGTATTTGATCCTCTTCATCGTCATCATGATAGACTGCTCTACATAGAGACATTGAACCCATCCAATAGTTGTTGCCATAAAAGAAACCAGAAGCATAATGTCCCGAAGCATCATCCACTATTAAAGAATAAAACAAGGAAGATAGGTTAAAAAATATGCTATTAGCAGTAGAGTGTTAAATATTTATTTCAATAAGAGTTTTAGATTGCATTAATTTGTAACTAAATACTAATTAAATTTTCTGGAACAAGCATATGCACGCAAATAAACCAGAAAAAATAAGCCACAAATGATTTCAAAAGCGAAAAAAATAAACGTCAAGTCAGCATTGTATTCGTAATGTAATAGTAAAACATTGACTTATTGTTACATAATTGTAATAATTGCATTTGGTTAATACCTTAACAGCAATAACAAAAATTACAATAAATAAACAACAACAATAGTTAACATAATTTGTATTGACTGACGACGACGACGTTGCTGACTAAAACCACTAGACTAGACTTGAACGAGTGTGTCTCTAAATATGCACTCGAAATTACTTTTGGTTTTGTTTTTCATTTAGTGAATACATCTCAACCCTGTTTAACATGTTATTTGTAAATTTTTCTCAAATATTTCTGAATATTTTTTATTTGTCCGATGATTATAGATTTGATATTAGTTAGACTTGCTATTTCAATTTAGATCGTTAGTGGCGTATCGGTTCCGGATTGTAAAGCAAATTTTTACTAAATTAGTCTTAGGTGTAGTTTCTTTTTACTTTTAATACAGAGTCTGGGGGCTTTGGGTTACATAAACTTAAACGTTATTGTTGTTAATCAACCATAAAAGTTGTTTGCACACATTCCACAGCAACAACATAGCAGTTACCATATCTGAACATTTGTGGCAAAGCCAATGTTGTTGCAAAGGTTGTGTGTGTGTGTGGGGGCTTGCAACATATTTTTTTGTTTCTTTATTTCTGTAGTTTTTTTTTCTAACGCAAACTATTACAATTAGAGCTTCGATTTGGCGTTTGTGTGTCTAATATGTACGTTGAAATATCGAGTCGTTCCTATATAAGTATGAACATGTTGAACCGGAATAAAAAATATATATTTTTTTTTGGTTCGAATCAAGTAAAGTTGAGACACTGCATTTTATTTCGTTAATTTTGTTTTGAACGTTTTAATTTTTTAGCCAAGACCTTGGTCAAGGTGAAGAGTATGAAATGTGTAATGAATAAAGTTGAATGAATGATTTTGATTGTTTCAGAATTTGCACTTGACTTTTTTAGTTGTACGTATGATGTTTTAATTGTTTAAAATATTCATCGCAAGTGAATTCTAGGATGGAAAGTATTTTTGTATTCTAAGCTTCTCTCGAACTAGTTCCTAGGCTTTATAACTGCTCTATAAAATAAATGCTTTCCAAGAAGACAATTCCATCCAACTGTTTATACCCAGCATCTAGACAATATCCGATCTAGCCACGTCTGCCCGTCTGTGGAAAGTACGGCGAACATCGGAACATGTTTGATCCGACGTTCATAACTGACTTAAAAATAGCTGTTAAACAATGAAATTCTACATAAATAGGTTGTATATTAGCCCAAATTTCATCAGAATCGGTTCATAATTGATCCTGCTCTCCATATAATCCCTCTTATAGATTATCAGTTAAGTTCGGTATAGATAATGTTACCCTGATATTGATATAGATATATGAAATATGTATATAATGGACTCTGATGGACTCTCATGCTTATTAAAAATTGGACAATCCTTACAAATTTTTGAACCCTTTTTTTGTCATATTTTTAAAAGATCTTTCTATATTTCGGAATTGATTTTATTGGGCACATTCTCGAAAGTTAGGTAGGATGTATAAACAAACTCCATAGATTAGATTAGAGTGAGCCCTAAGCACTGCGACCCTATTTTGGATATTTTGTGCAGTTGAATATATCTTTCGGGGCTAGTGTTGCAGCACCTAAGATTCTTTCTCGACGAGTCCTTAGTGTTGGACAATTGCACAATATGTGTTCTGAGGTTTCCTTCTGACAGCCACAAAATCTGCATAGCTTCGTTGTGGCATTTCCTAGGATGAATTGATGATATCTGAGACCACAGCGTCCCGTGAATAGTCTCGTTAGTATTTTGAGATCACTTTTGTTAAGCATTTGGGATTTTCCTCTTGATAGCGTGATTAAGCGCTTGGTCTGTCTAAGCCACTCTGGGCTTTATTGCATTTTGATAATATATCAGATTACCTTGGTCGGTTTGGAGGCCTCTAATTACGCCCCGAGTTAAGCCAAGGTTCCTGGGTGAAATACACATCCAGGAGGTCAGTAGTGAACTTGCGACATAGCAAATGAGAATCTGCCTTGGCGTGATGCAAGTTCACTTGCAGGCACCAGATGTGCTTTGTGCCATAGATATTACTGGCTGGTTGGTACGTTTTAATGTCTGCCGGACCGTTTCGCCGTTGCAAGGGTAATTTCTAGGATATTACCTTTGCTGACTCGGTTCAGTACCTTCCAGTACTCCACTGACAAATCAGCATTTTGCCCTTCTATTAGGGATAGCACCCTTGATGTGTCCGTTTCGGGCTTTTCCGGGAAATATCCCACATAGTTCTCAGCCTTGGAAATTTCATCTTCGGACAGGACTTGAAGTAAGGCTCCAGTCCAAAGCTTCAGCAAAGGAACTTGTTCTCTAATACACTTGGAAGAGTCTGTGCCCTTACAGTTGAATACCAACCAACCGGGCTTAAATGAGCATCCTGCAAATTGTGTTTTTATAGATCCCTTATTCAGCTCCATAGTTTTACCATCAAAAATGTCAACTCTAAATGAGTCGATTATTTCTTGGTAAAATCATAAACATTTGCAATCAAGAGTTTCAATAAATATCTCTGTCTCTTTTTTTAATAAATATACAAATAAAGTTTATATATTTAATAAACCCACTCATGATGACAAATGAGATACAAATGTTTTAAAGAATCTTTAGAAAAAAAACGTTTTAATTACTTGTTTTGACAATTAGTCAACTAATTTTCTGATTCAGTTAATGTCAAAAAGATTAAAAACATTTACCATTGAGTTACATGCAAGTTCAATGTCATAAATATGACATTTGATTTTTTTTTTAATTTTTATAATGAAAAACGGAAACGAGCTAATCTTTTAAAATAATGCGAATGAATAATTTTATAAAAGCATTAAGTGAATAAATTAAAATAGTTATTCTTAGTTATTTGCAATTATAGTAGGGAGGTCTTTTTTAAACTTTTTTCAGTTTCTAATCGGACTAAACAGTATTCCATTCATTATATCAGGTTATACATTAAGAAAAATAACAAATTAAGCATAAAGTCGTAGTCGAGCAGGTCTGTTAATAGTACAACATTCACCTGCTTTCATCGGAAGGCCCTTTTAATGTATCTAAGATCAGATATTTTGATAGAGTAAATAATATTATAATTTATATTATGATTTATGAGGACATTAACTAATGTATACACTAATCCAAAGATCAGTCAATAGACTAGTTCATAGAATAGTCAAGCGACTAGTCCATACAACAGTCAATAGATAAGTCCATAGAAAAGTCATGGAATAGTCCATAGAATCGTCATTAGTCCATAGAATAGTTAATATACTACTTATATAATAGACTAGCTTATAAAATAGTCAATAAACTAAAGAACAGACTAAACAAGTCCACAGAATAGTTAATAGACTAATCAATAGACTTGACAATAGACTAGTTACGCAGATCTCCTATGGGGACTATAAATAAGGACTGAACTCTTTAGAGTTTGGTAGAGTAATTTATTATTTGGTACAAATGGTCTATTACCACAAATTGACAAAAAAAAAGCATCCCTAATGTGCTTAAAATAATGTTGTTTTTCTTTAAAGTAAAGTCACGCAAGTGCAATGGGTCTTAACTCTTCTTTAGTTGGAAAAATTGTTAAAGCACTTAAAGTTTTGTTACTCTAATTATATTTATGTACATGTGTATGTAAGAAAAAGATGGTATACGACAATATAATTGCATGTGTGAATGTACTAATGTACATTATGTAGTTATTTAAATTTTTTTATTATTATAGTTTAAATGAAACAATTAGTAGTCATACGACAATTACGAAAAAAAAAAAAATAGTTTGCCTCAGGCAATGTCACTCACCACTCACTTGTACGTTCATTTGAACATAAAGTTATGTTCATTAAATTATTAAATTTTTATTATTTAATAAAGTTTGTTAGAAAAAATTAAGTAAATTTGTATATTTCTTTTTTCTAAATTTGCTAACAAAAACGTTAAACAATAAAATCTTGTTGTTTGTAACCATTTATGAATGATCACTGATCGTCCGTCCGTATGTATATATATAATTAATGTTTTGCTGAAATATTAATTCTTGAGGCGTTATTTGAATTATAAATTTATTTAATTGTCAATAGTACAGGAGTGTAGTAGTTGGTTGAGTATTGTATTTGCTGAATGAATCTATTGATCTATTGTCATAGTAAATATTGCCGTCCGCCAAATTGTATTATGTGTATGTACTATTTATTTACAATAATAATAACAATTTCAGAAAAAAACCCTGCAAATTTTTATTAATTTTTAAAAATAAATCTCTGTAGAAGGTTTTTAATATTTTCTTTTTCAATTTGTAATCATATTTTTTGTATATAACCACTGGCCATAAATTGTCATTAAATATAGTTAGCGGGTTTTTTTTATAAAAATTGCATAATTTTAAAAATTACTTTCATCGTCAATTACTGGGTTACTTAATCGGTAAATTTTAACATATTGAAGGGTATTTCATACTCCAGTGATGATATAGCAATGTCAATTTTCCTAAGGCCCCAGATATCTTAAGGACCAAACTCGTCATATAATCAATCAAGAATTCTGTCAGTCACCAGTATCTTCTTGCCCAGGAAACAGGGTTCAATATATTTAACAATTTTTGAATTTCTTGTGAAAAGGCAAATTTCAGTCTTCGCCGGGTTAACATTGAGGCCTCTTGCTGGAGCCCAACTTAAGGCCATATTCAAATTCTTTTCAGCACTTCTACGAAAGTAATTTGAATCTTTGCAGAGCAGA